CCCGGCCCAGCTGCTTTGCCACTTGCTGCCGCCGGCTCCTCAGCTGGGCCAGCAGCAGCTGGACGGCACCCAGAGCCACTGCCTGGCTGCCTCGGAGGTGCCTGCAACTTGGCCCAAAGGAGGACGCGTTCTCCCCCACGTCCTCCTCTCAGCCATTGGTGCAGTAGAGTCCCAGAGTACTGGAGAAGGCTCTCAGAGGTTACCTGGACCACTTGCTGGGGCGAGGGCTAAAAAGACTTGCTGTCCAAGGTCACGCAGCTCCTGAGTGACAATGAATTCATTTGCTCATGACTCCCATTATAAGTGTGCTGGCATGTTGCCACAAATCTTATTAGTTCCAAGATGAAACAAAAATCGCATTTGATATGGGCTGGCGAGGGGGGGCGAGCCTGTGGTCCCAGAGCCTCGAAGGCTGAGGAAGGACTGTTTAAGCCCAGGTGCTCAGGGCTAGCTTGGGTTACAGTCAGACCCATCTCAAAAACAAACAATAACAACAACAAACAAGCATGGTATGCTTTTCAAGACATGTATTTACCCTAAGCAAGGACGCTCTGCAGTAGTTGCCTGAGAGCCCAGGATACCCTGGTGACCCTGTGCCCTGAGAGCTGAGTGCCTGGCCCTGCCGCCCACTGTGGGTACACCTTGCATCCCGACAGCAGGCTTGGTGTAATGATGCCTTCTCAAAGGCAGAGGAAGAGCGGGGCTCCCGGCTGCCTTGATGGCATCTTCTAATTCCTTCTAGTTCTTGTCAGGAGCTTGAGAAACAGAAGCAAAAACAGAGCAATCTGTACTTATACCAGTGTGACCCTTCGGGCAGAAGCTCGGTAATCTCAGACTCTCAGTCTGAAGGTCCACATACTCCTCCGTGCAATGGGACCATGGCACTGCTGCCAGTGTCACTGTGAGGGAGGTGGAGGCCCTGGCACATGGCCTGGGGATGACAGGTGCTCAATATGCAGTGTCCAGCATAGTGAGGATGATCCTAAGACTGTGAGGGCCTTAATGAGCAATTAAGGGAAAATGTGTCTTTCCCTCCAACACTAGGCACTGGTGCTAGTGTCATACAGACACCTGCGCCTGAGTTAGCAGGGCTTAGCACTTCCTGTGGAGACTTCTCCTAGTCTCCACCTAGTTCTAAGCTGTCTGGTGACTGCACTAACCACATGCAACCATCAAAATTAAAACCTCAGCTCCTCAGTCCCACTGACCACATTTAAAGTGCTCAGCAGCTATGTGGGACCAGAGGTTCCATGCTGGGCAACACTAGAGTAGGAGGCTGTCTCCTTCGGTGCCGTGGGACAGTGCTGGCTGGTGATCTGGGTGGTGGCAGTTAATGAATGGTGGCTCTGAAGTCGTTCCTGTTGGGAGGTTGCTGGCAGCACCTCGAGCCCTTTTGCAGGCCCACGGCTCCTTCTCCTTGCAGGGCGGGTATGAGGCTGGCCAGCTGTTCTGGCTGCAGCTCTCCTATGGACTCCCCAAGTGACCGAGTTTCTCGTGATGCCTCTATTTCTTCACTGGAAAAGTATTTCATGTCCCTCCAGCTTTAGAATGTTGTCACCAGAATCAAGCAAATAACCTCTCAAGTGCTCTGGGGACCAGGGACAAGAACCCACACAAGGAACACTGAGGAGAAGGGGAAGCCAGATTTGGTGTCAGGGAAGCTGGATTCCAGCTCTCAGTAGCTGAGGAACCCTAGTATGAAGCTGAGGTTTGACTTCCTGAACTCCTTGACTGTAAAAGGAGTAAAATGAACATAGTTATTCTGAACTTGCATGTTACTGTGGGGATCAAAAGAAATAATGCAAATGAATAACGCATCCACTGGGCTGCTGGTGCCCCTGGTCCTGCTGCCCACAACACGTGGGACAGGGTACCAGCTGGGACCAGTTCCTGCTCTCCAGACTCAGCGTCTAGCTTGCCTTCTTCCCCCTGAACAGACGCCCATCTTACCTGTGCATCAGAAGCACCCAGTGGGGTCTCTGCAGTGGGGCTTTGGGATCCCCAGTACCATGAATGGTGTCATTATTTTTAAGCACTTGCCACATGCCAGAGACGTATGTCACTTTCAATCTTGATGGCCCTGTGCACCTTGGGAAGTGAAAGAAACAACACTGCTTCCTGCTGCGGAGGTGCCGAGCATAGGTGGCTCGGGCCTATGGGCATCCTGTATCTTACGGACAGCTTTAATGGGTGCTGGCAGGTGTCAGCTGAGACGTGGTGAAGCTGTGAGCGGTCTCTGGCCACAAGCGCCACAGCAAAGCAAAGGGTGTGTAGTCTAACTTCCAGATACCACATCCCCAGATGAAACCGGAGTTCCAGGCTTTGCTGGCTGGCTCAGGCAGGGTGGAGAGGGAAGAGGGGAAGGGAGAGCAAGCAGGTACGGAGCCTGGCTGGGAGCAGCAGCCAGAGTCCAGCAAGGCTGCTTAAGGACGGGAATTATGGATGAGCTGCATTTTCCGAGTGAGTAGGTATTAAGCGAGGACTGCTTTAATACAGCAAACACTGGAGTCCACAGCTCGGTCCAAACCCCAGATGTGCTCTCCCCGACTGTGCAGTGACAGCACCTTCTCTGCTGTCATCTCCTCACCTGTCACCCAGGAACGCTAAGAGTATCGACATCGTAGTGTTCCCCAGGGACAGGAACCACGTGTCACTGATGCCAGGTCCGCCCGATCCTCCACAGCGTCCCCGGACTTCAGGTCTCCACAGCCCTGTGCAGCCCCTGAGGTGCGGGGCTCCCTGTCTTGGGGGGGAGGTGAGCATAAAGGATAATGCACTGTCTCTGCCCTTGAAGGGGTCACCGTTAGTGAGGAAGGATCTTAAGTCAGCCTGTGACAATCTAATAATCCATGCTCCCCAGCCCACCTGCGCCCACTTGACATCTCTCTCACCCCCACATGCACAGACGCACGCGCAGCCAGTGTTTCCCTCGGCTGCAGGCCCTGGACTCCTAGATGTCTCTGGCGCTGGCCTTCTAGAAAGCTCACTTTGCACAGAGACGTCTGCCTTAAGCACAATGAAAAGCAGTTCTGGCCTGCACCAGCCCCACGGGCCACCTCCCCAGCTCCTGCCTGCTTTATCAGGCCCTCCTGAGGGCAGGCCATAAAATCTCCCCTCAAGGGGCCCATGGGTGTCCGGATGACTTTGTCCATGTCTAATCAGCTGTCCCTGGCCAGCTGGTGCAAGAGGAGTGGCAGGGGGAATGTTTGATCAGGGCAGCTGGGGAGCCCTGACCGACAGCTGCTCTGAACCTTCTGCTAATCTCTTCTCAGAGGACAGGAACGGAGCGTGTTCTGTGTTCCGACAGACAGGCCCTCGGGGACTGGAGAGCAGCCTTGCTGACAGGAGCGAGACGTGGAAGTGGGGTTCTCCCTGAGCGGAGAAAGTGGGACAAGAAAGTGTTGCTTGGGTCCAACTGCTGGTCTCCTTTAGCTGACCGACATCTGGTCCCCCTCCCAGCAGAAACCAAGACCACAGGTGTGGCCCTGTCCTCAGAGCATTCCCAGGAGTGCCACCCACTGGTGAGAAACAGCTCACACAGGAACTACATGTGGGGTGTAGTTTCTCCTCCCCCAAAACTGAGAGTCTGGGGTCAGAGTCCTGCAGAGTCCAACAGCAGGCGACAGCCACTGTGCGCCTACAGAGTGCACTGCTGGGACCAAGTCACGGAAGAGAGACAAACACTGCAGTGGCCATGATAGATGCACGGGAAGAAACCCCATATCCTAGGTGGGCCCATGTCCTGGATGTCTCCCTCTCAGGTGCCCTGAGAAGGGCACAGTCCTGGGCTATTTCTCAAGGAAAAGTGAAGACTTCTTGGTTTAGGACAAGACCATAAGGAGCTGTACGTTATTTTTCTTTCTCATCCCAAACACATTTCTGAGTAGAGGCTTATGGGGGCAAGATGAAACCAAACACTTAATTAGAAACACAAGGAGCGCAGGGCACAGCGGCACACAGAGGTCACCCCAGCCACTTCAGGGGCTGAGCAAGGACGGTAACAAGCTGGAGACTGGCCTGGGCAACTGAGCAAAATCCTGCCTCAGAAAATAAAGGGCTGTGGGTGGCTCAGAGTAAAGGGCCTGAGTCAACACACATACACGCCATGGGGCTCGGACCCCTCAGCGGCGGTGCCCGACAGCAACTGAGCACTCCAGCCCTGGGAGAGCTGGTTCCCTTTTACCACGGCCTACTCTGGGCTGCTGCAGGCTCTGGCTTTACTTCAGAGCAGCCCAGAAAGCACAATCTCACCTCGGTCCCGGGCTCTTTCTAGGGCTCCCTGCCCTGACTCATAGTACCAGTCATCATTCAGGAAGCCACTACATTGTCAGGCGCTAAAAATGTTAGAAAGCTTTCTCCTCACACCCATTTGTTAAGGGAGACTTGTTCAAGGTCACCCAATAAGTAACGGCAGGGCTGGGAAGCTCTCAAGTTCGTCCCTCCGCTCTGCGGCGGCCTCTCCCAGGCAGCCACCAGGTCCAAGCGATGGTGGCCGGTTCCACGCTGGCTATGGGCTGCAGCACCTGTCTCTGCACTGTTCCCCTTCCTAGCTGGCTGCCAGGGACACACCGGGCACCACTGTCCGAAACATGATGTGGGCAGCCGCAGGCTCTCTCTGCAGACACCGTGTAGGCAGAGGGCTGTGCCCTCAAGGAGGCTCTGCACTGGGCAAAGGAGCAGCGCAGCCCCCCAGCCTCGGCTGAGCCCGGCCTCCAGGGCCGCGGGGCGCAGCGGCCGCCCCAGCTCAGGGGCTTGGCTCCCGCAGGTGGTGTGCACCTCCTACCTGTGCTGCGCTCACCTCCATGTTGGCTGCCAGCAACGTGCCATGCTTCCACTCACTGGGAAAGGTTTCTGCTTATTTTACGGTTACCTACTCAGCCCTGGTGCTTTGGGGGCACCTGAGATTAAAGAGATAAATGAACAGTCGTGTGTGTTTTAAAGCCCCTAAGGATTCTGAGAGGAACAAGAAAACAGAGTGCGCCAGAAAATGCAGGCAGTGGTTGACTTGTCTGTAAAAAAGTTTATTAACAACTAAAATTTTTACACTAAACCATTGAACTCTGTCCTGCAATCTGTCCTGCACTTTATGACGTCAAGCCATTTGCTGAGAGCCAGGAGGAGGAAACTCAAAGCACACTGACCAAGATCACACAGCTGCATGCAGGGATTTACCAGGAGGGACACCAAAGCCTGTGCTCTCAAACACTGCGCTCCACTTGCCCCCTGGAAAGAAGCTTCAGGAAATGCAGCTCCAAGATACGTGTTTTCGCCTGGGCCACGCTAACTCAAAGGCACACAGCAGCCCCAAGGAACCCAGGCCCCTCAGGCCTGTGTCCACCTGACAGCTACCCAGCACCACGGCCACCTGCAGCACAGGCGCGTCCTCCTCTCCACGTACACATTTCACTCTGTGATTAACACGTGCTAAACACGAGTGACAGCATGTAACTCGCCTTATCCTGCAACACACGGGGCATCCTCGCCTACAGTGGAAACAGGTGTGACGGGCCTTGCTAAAGGAAACTCGAGCATCTCCCCAGGTCGGACGCAGTCTCAACAGCTCAAGGAATGACTTTTTTCCTCAACACTGCAGTCCCCAAAGTACAGACACCTTCTTTCCAAGTAGTTCCAGCTGTGCTGCTGAGTTGTTGGTCAGAGTCCTGCCAGCCATGGTTTCTATGGCAACAAACCAACTTGCCCTGACACTCCTTTCAGCCCTGTCTTTCTTTTATTCCCGTTTTCCTCCTATCTCCCAAGTATTCTGGGGTACTCCGGGCCAAGCTACTGAACCTTCTTTCTGGGAAGCTTAAAGTATTCTAACCTCTTCCCTGTCACTGTCCACCCCTCTGGTTCCAGCTGAACAGGACAGCTGCTTGCCCCCTGGACCCACCTGCGTGCTCCTGCTAAGGCTAGGAGTGTCCTCCACCCTCTGCCACACCTCCAGTATGTTTTGAGTCCCTGCGGTGAGAAGGAACTCGCAGGGCCTCCGTCAGCCTTCCCTGACTCTGAGGATCTGTCTGGGCTCAGGAGTAGCGAACAGAGACCCTGTCTCCTCTACCCACCATCTGCAACTCACTGCATCCATCAGCCCTGAGTGTCACAGCTCTGGCCCAAGAGATTCGGCTGAGGTGCCCCAGTGGTCAGCTTCCCAGATGCAGAGCCGTGAGGCAGAAGAGGCAGCCTTCATCCAAAAAAATCAGGAAAGATTGGGACCTTGGCTCTTGCTCTCTTGCGGCTCTTCTGGTCCCGATCTGCAGACCAGCAGTCTTGCCCACCGAGGGAAGCCCTGTTCTTGTACCACAGATCTGCACTCCCACTTCCCTGTGCAGGGCAATCCCGCTCCCCAACCCCACCATCCCACAGGTAGACTCCACTTTGCACTTTTGTCTTTCCCACTGCATCAGCTTGATCTTCAGCTTTGGGAGCAGGGGAAGCCCGGGGGTCCCCTGAACAAATCCACACATTCCAAGAAGCCAGGAGACTCCTCCAACCTATGCAAGTAGCACTGAATGAGCTAAAGGGAGCGTCAGTGCCACGGTGAAATCAAACGGTGTGGACAAAAGAGACCCGCTAGCCGTGTCCCCCTGGCAGCACTTTACAAGTCTCTTGGGCACAACAGGGAGAGCTGAAAAAGTCTTTCTTCAATAAAATCCACATCTTCTCCAGAGAGTAGCACTGTGAAATCACAGGCAGCCAGTAAGGAGGCCCACGCGGTGGTGCTGGGCTGTGCCGGGCCGTGCCTCCTGCCGGGCAGGGGATGAGTGCATCCGGGGCCTGGCAGCTTGATCTCACTCGGCTGCTCTCAGCACAGTGAGCGAGGAGTCCAGTGATCCTGAAGAGAGTCGCTGGCCACCATTTGGGTCCCATCGAAACCTGAGAAAAGGTTTCTCAGTGCTGGAAAGGATCTGACACTAAGGTTTAAAATTTACAGCACTTTTTATTCAGAAGACTTAAAATGAAATCACTTACTTGCCGCTATAAGCCCTCAGCACTTGACATGATACTGTCTTGCGTTTTGGCAGGCAGACGTTTTGGTGCCACTCAGTGTAATTCCCACCATCCTACAGCTTGTGAGGCCCTGCACTCTGACCTGCTTGGCTTGGCACCAAGGCCTGGCAGCCTGTGCCACTCTACCGTCTTTCAGAGAGGTTCCATCTGGTGCCAAGAGCAGTCTGTGCCACTTGCAGACCAAGAGCTCCTTGGTCTGCCAGCCATGGGGACCGGGGAAAGCCTTGGTAGAAACAGTGACGGCTGCCCAGGGAGGCGAAGTCTTAAGGCTTGAGCACCATCTTCTGGTCAGTGTTTGGCTTCTGAGGCTGCCTCTCTTTAAAGACTTCCCTTACCCTTTGGGATGGGAAGATCCCAGAACTAACAAGCTCAGCTGGAGGCGGAAGCAGCAGGCTGGGGCAAGCTGACCTAGGCTGGAACTCACTGTTGCCAGGATTGCCTGCACAAAGCCAGTGCCAAGGAAGACAGCCAGCCCCTGAAAATACCAGTCAGAGCTAGGGCTCTACGTTAGTCCTTTTAGCTGTGCCCCACCTGCCTGTGTGCCTGGTGCAGCAATACAAGTCCCACCTATAGCCAGACTCAACCCCATGTGCCCCTGCACACAGCCATGGAAAAGGGGTGGGCTCCTCTCTGCCAGCGCGTTGCTGGAGGGTGAATGGTCCAACTGGCACCCTCTCTACAAGGGGTCAAGCCACACTACGTGGCAGGCGGTCCTGCATGCTGTGTAACACTCCACTAGGCTACTCCAATCTTTGAGCCTCAAGGAAAAAATAAACGCTAGTTGTTCTCTCTAAACGACAGGAATCAACATCCATCTAATTGCACTTCATAATGGATTCTACAAACCATTAATTACCAGATTATATTTTCGGAACTAAAGATAAAAGGCTTTGTGAAATTCAGGCTCAGAAGGATCATTGACCTTCAGTAAGCACGCAGGCTGGGAGCGCTCGAGAGCTGGCCAAGCACAAAGCGCGCGCACTGGCGGCAGGAGCAGAGCCAGGGGCAGCACTGCTGGGTGTGCGGCAGAGGGTGGCCTGCCTGCTGCAGGTTCATTAGCAACATCATCAACTCCAGAGGGAGCCAGCGAGCAAGACCTTCAGGGTAGAGGGAGAGGATAAGAACGTGGAAGGGCCCCAGACACACCTTTCAGGGAATGCTAGGAAGAGCATTCTAGAAGGCAGGAACTGTCTGCTGCTGGATGGCCTCCCACGAAACACTCCCAGGAGAGACACACCAAAGACTTTCCGGAGAGCTGATTGCTACAGACCAGGTGGGACCCAGCATAGAAATGAGGGCATTGGTAACCCTGCCACCTGTCCCGCTGCCACCCTAATGTGAACACAGGCACACGAAGTAGATGGAGCTGACCAGAGGGGGAGGGAGGACAAGGGAGGGAGGGCGAGTGTGCTTCAGGTCCAGTCCCTGCGGGATCTGCTGTGCGTCTCTCCCATTTTTAAATGGCCAGAGGCACGGGTAGGTCTGTCCCCACCTGACTTCCTTTCTGTCCTCCGAGAGCTGCTGGCGTTTGCCCTTCCCTGACGTCCCTCCCATCCCACTGCTCTTCCAGGTTATTTCCAAGGCAGTGGCAAGAGGTCTGAATGACAGCCTGCGAGGTGCACGTTGGTTACAGAGGACAGAGTGTTGGCATCCATGATGCAGACTGGGAGTGAGGACGACGGAGCTTCTGTTTGTCCTTCGAGTGAGACCGTTTGGGTTGGTGCTAAATTAAGATGCTCACCACTCGGGTCAGCAGGGAAGGGCAAAGGACAGGTTTCCGAGCTTCTGCTCTAAAGCAAACACAGGGTCCCTCTTTTGGTGCGTTCATTTGGCCTCCCCACAGATCAGGGTCACAGTGCCATCCAGCAGATCCTCCACAGTCACCGCCACTAGTTCAGAGCTGGTCTGAGAAGCCTGAGAGTCTGGCAAAGTCACAAACACCTGTGAGCCGGCAAGCTGGGTCTCCTCCAGGGTGATCACCTGCTCGGCTGGGGCTGCTGGCTCTGAAGTCTGGATCACCTGAAAAGGAAAGAGTAGGGGGGCTCTGGGCAGTGTCCACGGCGAGCTCCCCAGCATTCACATGGCTTCCACCTCACACTGTAATGATGATATTTATATTTTCACCTGAGGAGAGCAATTACTTGTGCCTAATGGGAAGAGCAAGTCTAATACACCAGTGATGCAAAAGAGAAGGCAGGCAAACAATTTAACTCTGTGTACTAAATTGCTGTAATTTTGCTCAGTATGCCATCTTGGGGTGCCTGGACTATATGATTAGCGAACCAGCGAACACTGGCTCAGTTTCTCACACTGGCTTCTCCTGTCTTGAGGATGACACTGCAGGGGGAAAGTGTCATGCGAGAGCCATGCCACTGTAGGTGGGTGGTCTCGTGGCTGAAATACAGCAATGTCATGATTAACCAGAAGCCAGGTCTGCCTGGGTGGCATGCCTGGGCACCTGTGGGGCTCTGAGCCTTCTTGAGGAGCAGAGTTTCAAAGTCTCAGAGGAAGACAGGGAAGAAGTGTGGTTTCTAGTAGCTCACTGGTTCAGCTCAGCAAGCCGACAGGGTGGCCACCCCCACTCTCTGGGTCTCTCGTGCCCCTCCCAGACCTGCACAATCTGTTGAGAGCAGCTTTCTGAGCTCTGGGAGAACTCTCCATGGCTAAGCACACTCTGTTCTTTCCTGAACCTCTAATCTGGTGCTGACCTGTGGACCCTAGCACAGCACGATGCCCTGGATATTCTTACACCAGTGAGCTCCCAGAGGCGTGGCCACCTGCTCTTGAAAACCAGCCAAGAGCAGAAAGCAACCACACAAGTGTGGGTGCCAAGAGCAGCTACTTCTCTGTGCTAAGGAGCAAACACCACAACCGTGATATTTAATCAACAGTTACCTAGCACTATAGTTTTCAAGTGGGTTTTCTCTAGGTTAGGGCTGGAGCTCCCCAGGCAAGATATCTTACCAAGAACTCCAATAAAAAGAAAAAAGACGATTGTGGAGAGGCTCTGGTAACATGACAAAACGAGTGTCACTGACGCCCTGCCTTCCCGGCCTGCCCTCTGTCCCCTGGAGGCTCTAAGGATGCCATGTACACATGACTGACCTATGTGACTGGGCAGTGGACAGTCCAATGGATTAAAGCCTCCACCCCTTCACTTCCTCTCCAACCGATCTGCAGGTCGCTCACAATTGGCCACACTCAGTTTCATCTGTCCTGCTGCCCTCTCTACAGATCAGGAGGAGGGTAAAAGAAGGCCAGGGAAACACAGAGGCTGGGTCAAGCTTAGGCCAAAACTGAGAAAAGGTGGGCTTCTCAGCAGGTAAGTGGAGAGGCACAGACATGTGCAAATGTGGCTGTGTCCAGCCAGGAGAGCCGCCTGTGCCTTCACTGCAGTGGGTCCCTGCCTAACAAACAGCCTGGCCACCCCTCTTTAAGTTTCCTGCAGATCTCACATATCCCAAGGCATCTCTCAGAAGGTGGAAAGCGTGTAAATGGAGGGGAAGAACGAAGAGCCTTCTACTTTTGGAAATTCTTCTCTATCTTAGGGACTGCTAGGAGACTAGAACTTTCTGTTCTGATTGCTAAGAGGTCCACTGACATGTATGACTCACAGACCCTGAAAGAGCCCAAGGGAATGAGGCCGAGCGCTGGGCCAGAGGCACCTCTACAGAACTCCGAGGAACCCTGTGATTGCCCCAGAATACCTGCACCATCTGGGAGGTGGCTGCCTGGGTTTCAGTGCTTGTCACTTTTGGGTGCTCAGACTCCAGGTGGCCATCCAGCTGAGCCTGGGAGGTGAAGAGCTCCCCACAGAGCTCGCAGGGGAAGGTGCTCTCCGACTGCTTGAAGTGCTCCGTGGTGACGTGGTGCTGCAGGGCTCCAGGGAAGCGGAAAGTAGCTGCACAGTACAAGCACCTGAATGGCTGGGACCCTGGAGGAGGGGAGGCAGAAGAGGTGGGCTGTGAGTGGACCGAGTGGCAGAGCAGGGAGACGTGAGAGAGAGGAGGAACACGGGGCTGAGGAGAGGCAAAGCCCAGCTTTTGGAGATCTGAAACTCATACCATTTGGAGGGCGTTTCCTCAAAAAAGGACGAATACAGAACAAATGACAAACACTAAACTAGGTGCACAGCCTTGAAGGGTCCCCTTCAAGTGAGAGGCTCTCAAAGTCCAGTGTCATTAGCATTAGATTTAGCCTAAATTTGACCTGGCTGAAGCCCATGATGACACTGATGATACCACCTTTTATTATTCTAAGGAGCACACTTTCAGATCCCTGGATGGGACAAACAGCATCTCTATCTGCTATGTGCCAGATGGCAGTCAGGTGTGGCTGCAACACCTGTGCATGCACAGACATCCGAACTTACAAGATGCCAGTCTATGGGCAGGAATAAAACCCCTAACACAGGAACACAGGATGGCATGCTTATAATTCACAGGAGCCAAATGCTCTAGGAGGGAGGAGGCAAGTGAGGAAGAGTTAGGTACACTCTAAGCCAGGAATCAAAAGCAGTCTGGTGTAGGTAATGTTCGGAGACCAAAGCCTTTAGCGCTGGGCCCTAACATCAGCACTCTGATAGCAGGGTAAACACTGGGAGGAGAGACACACATGTCCACGGTGGAATGCAGAGTTACTCTGAGAAGCTGGATTCTTCCCCTAACCAATTTATTTCCTGTGTTTTCCTTTTCACCTGTGTACTTATGAGTGAGTGACTTCAAATCTATGTCAGATTAAGACTGAAATAGCACTTAGGATAAATTACAAATTCTAAGTGATAAAAAGGGGTTGAATTGGTAGCACTTTTTACTTCTTAATGGCTCATTAAAAATTGCGCACTCGCCGGGCACGGTGGCACACGCGCCTGTAATCCCAGCACTTGGGAGGCTGAGGTAGGTAGGCCTGCTGCAAGTTTGATTCCAGCCTGGCTACACAGTGAGTTCAGGGTCAGCCTGAGCATACAGAGAGACCCTGTGTCAAGAAGGCAAAAGCAAAGCAAAACAAAACAAAGGTGCATCTTATATGAGAAGTGTGAGGCTGAGGCAGGAGGATTTCACATTAAAGCCCAGTGTGGGCAACTTAGGGACTCAGTAAGACCCTGTGTCAAAAAACCAAACAAAAAGGTACACTTTATAACTTGCATTTTAGATCTGATGAAATACAGCAACAACAATGACAATCACAGTTAAGACTTAAGGGAGACTTACTGGTGTGAGGCTGTAGTGTATTTCACAGTTTCACAGTTCCCCATAAGGAAACGGAGGTAAGTGACTGAGCCTGGGTTGCACAGCAGTGACTTACACCGAGGCAGTCCTGCTCAGGGCTTGCGGAAGGGACACTGACCTGAATGCTGGCACTTGATGTGAACCTGCAGCAGAGCTGGTGTGGGGAAGAGTTCCTTACACTGCTCACATTCGTGGAACTTCAGATCTGTGAAATGTAGAGGAAAGGAATAATGAGAAAGGGAAAAAGGATGGCTCCTCCAACACCAGAGACGAACAGGGCCGGAGCAGGTGAGGACTGACACTGCCCACGTCCTCTACCATGTGCCAGAGACCTTACACCTCAGGGAGGTTCATGCAACTCAGCAGTGAAGAGCACCAGGCGGCTCAGGCTGTCTGGATACAAAGAGGGTTGTGAGAACTAAATGAGGAAACACGCATGGAGTGCTTGGCTGGTGCTCTACACACAGGAAATGCTCTGTAACTGACAGCTGTTGTGATTATGCCCAAATTTATCTGCAAGGCAGGTATTAATAACTCCCATTCTGAAAAGGAAACAGGCTCAGAAAAGTCACTTGCCAAGGTCATGCAGCTGGTAAGTGCTGGAGTCAGGATTTCCTCCCAGGCAAGTCTGCCACCAAAGCTGTACCCTTCCCACACCGTGACTAGGTCTTACTTGCAGGCTGGCAGGAGCACACTGCTCTAGGTTTCCAGGAGTGAGAATCACTGCCACCCAAGCTCCTGCTACTGATGGATGGGTGTGGCATCCTTCAGGGTGCTGAGACCAAAGGGTGCAATCACCCGAGCACAGCACGCCACAGCACTAAAGCTAGCATTTCCAAATAGAAGCCAGGATGCTAATAAACCAAGCCCCTTCCCTATACCAGTTCACACTGGGTCCTGTGGTCCCCCAAACTCACCCGCATGTTCTGCTTTGATATGCTTCTTGTGCTCAATGGTGTTGGAAAAGGTTTTATCACAGGAGCTGCACTGGAGTGATGAGAACTTAGATGATCGATGGTTCTGGGCTGCAAATACATCTGGGTGGTGGGTTCGATTGTGGTACCACAAGCCAGACAATTGCTACAAGGAATTTGGAAAATGTTAGGTCTTGTGTTCAAGCAAGCTAGAGAGCCCATGAGGTTCTCATGAGAGAAAAAAGTGTTCTGAGATAAGCTCACAGATCTAGAATCACACTCTCATATCTGTCACATGGAGTGTAGAGCCGAGGAAAGGTCAGTGTCTATGGGAACAAAACTGGGAGAGGCCATTCAGGCAGGACTGAGCTGAATCCTTCGTAAGCCCTCATTGCTCACACCAAGCTGATGAGGGATGAAGCTGAGGCACAGAGGCATTAAATGACTTGCCCACGGTCACACAGCTGGTAAATAGGAGGAGCAGGATTAAGCCTGGCCACCTGCGTGGAATATCTATTTTTCACACTATGATGTGCTTCATTGCTTCCCAGAAGCCCATATAGCAGAGCAATCTGCTGCAGGAAGAGTCCATGGACTCCAGGAGCAAGCACCCATCTCTGCCGCAGGTTCTAGAACAGCACTGAGAACACTGAATACAATTCCTTGGTCTCCTAGAGATCAGCCCTGTGACTCAGCCATGTCAGACTAATGTCATCACACAAGGCCTGACAGAAAGCTGGCTCTCCGTTCCTAAATCAGCTACTAGGCTTCTGTCCATTCCTCCACCTTAGAGATGCCAGAAAGGACATTTCTTCCTGGGACAGTTTCTGACAGAGATGGAGCTTTCTTTTAGTCCTATCTGGGATTTCACTTTAATTACATGCCAAATTTCAAGGTAAAAACATAGAGGTCTTCCCTGGGACTTAAAGCAAACAACAAATTAATTCTGGATGGTGATTTGCTCCCCATTATCACTCTCACACTCTGGAAACAGGTAGTACAGAGCAGGAGCATCCAAGGGGAAGACAGCATTCAGCTCAGGACAAAGCTCACATCTAAAAGAGGGGTAAGAATGCTCTGCTCCAGTTACAGCTCGCACTGCATCTCTGGCCAGGTCTCCGCAGGGAATATGAGTAACGAGTTGCCTTTTAGCTTTTGGAGTACTGGGGATCAAACCCAGGGCCTCATTCATGCTAAGCATGCATACCACTGAGCTGCACTCCCAGCCTGTCCATCAGGAAAAACAGACTGTCACCACTTGAAGACAAGACGGTACAAGCTGCAAGTTACAAACATGAACATCTGGGAGCCAAATGGAGAGCAGGGCAGGCACTGGGAGACGCTCCCAGTGTTCAAGAGGTCACCTGGTAAGCCTTGTTACAGATCCCACAGCTGAAGGGCTTCCCTCCGACATGGGTCACCATGTGTCGCTCCAGCATGGAAGGGGCACTAAAGATCTTCCCACACGTGGGGCAGGGGTGGTACTCCTTGGAATGCACCTCGTGGATATGCTTCCGGTGATCCTGCAGAGTGGGGAAACTCATCCTGCACTTCTTGCAGTCATAAGGATCTTCTATGTCTGGTTCCAAGAAGGACATCGGCAAGAGGACGGAGAGGGGAAAACACCACGGACAGCATTTAGTAAACATGGTTGGGGTGTCAGCAAGATGTGAGACTCTGTTTATCTGTCATGCAGGATCACAGACTACGTGAACCCCAACTCAGGAGCCGGGCTGTGCTCAGCTTTTTGGATTAACTGTCTATGTAGCAGCTGAGTTCATCGTAATTCCTCATTTTATATCCTAAATGTTAAAATCTACTTCATCGATTTCCAAGCAGGGCCCCGCCCTTCCAGTTTGCAGTAGCATTTTGAGTTTCGTGGTTCTCTGTGGAGATTTCAAACACAACTAGCATCACTATGTTTTTGTCATGAGCAGTGCTTCCTGGCCCCCCACTTTAGATTCAACAATAAAACTTTTGCATAGATGCCATTTAGTAAGTGCCTCATGGAGGCATGTTCTAGGTGTGTTTTAACTCTCCTACTCTTTCCAACAGCCCTGTGAGTAGGTTCCATTCTTATTTTACAGGCTGGGAAAAGCCAAGGTATAGAGAGTTAAGTTAGTACCTTATCCAAGCGTGGTCTAGGAAATGGCCTCATTCACAAGCCCATGCTCTGAGCCACACATGCTAAAGTCTCAGTATGACCTCAAATATAAGTAGCACTCATGGAGAATGTGCTTGTCAGGTGGGTGGCAGAAATCTCTAGTCTTCTTAAAAGCAACAGAAAGCAAAATAATAAAGTCTGTTGCCCAGAAGAAAGGTCCAACCCACATGCCAATCCTATGAGTGCACTGACTCAGATTAATGCAGGAATTCTGACATGCAGCAGAATTCGGTATCATTAACTAGTTTCCCTGTGGACAGCAGCTCTTGAAATCTGTTTCACAGTCTTTTAAGATGCTCTGACACAGATTTCCATGAGCAATCATGTGGCCCTCAGAAATGCAAGCAACAGGAGAAGGTATCCATAGTTTGGAAGAGAAAGGGGCTCAGGTACCAACCCTGGATGATGATACACAGTACTCCGGGGCATGGGTCACCACCATCTCCATTCTGAAAATTAGCATCTCCCTCCCATTTCCTGATTGTCATGTGAAGGTAGTAGGAAAAGAAGACTAAAGTACAATGGCATCTTAAAAGTTGAGAAGACATTAAAATGTGGTGGTGGGTCCAAGCCGAATCTCACTCGTCTGCAAGTCTACTCTAATTGAATATTTTGGACAGTCCTGGTAACTCCTCGGAGAGAAGGGACCACACTTTGTACTCCTTGTGCATGACCCAGTATCTACTCACATGCTGGGCACATAAGCACTCTGGCAAAGTCCCTTTTGATTGGATGAAACAGACATAGATGTGTTTACATAAAGTACATGTTATGAGGTACTAAGTTAGACAGCATCTACTAAGTTAGAAGCTGGTATGGGAAGATGGGTGAGGAATGGGGAGGGGAAGGAGGATATGCAAGGTACCTGAACTGCAAAAAGGACAAGCTCTGATAGGACAGATGGTACCCAACAGGGCTGCTCTTATCACCAATAATACCGGGCATTTACTGATCATTTCGCGCTTCATGCATACATGTGGCGGCTCATTTAACTTTTTTTTGTACCAAGGATCGAACTCAAGACCTTGTGATTTCCAGGTAAGCGTGAATACCGCTGAACTAAATCCCCAGCACTCATTTAACTCTTATAGCAATCCAAGGTGGTGGCACTGTGTTATCTGCTCTTGTTTGGAAGGCGCCTAAGAGGCTCAGAAAGGCAGAGAAAAGTAAGTGGAAGAGTCAAGATTTCTGTCCAAGGCTGTGTGATTTCAAAGTCCGCACTTTCAAGTTGCCTACTACTCCACACATTTACTGCACGCTGGCCGTAACGAGGGAGACTGAGAAGGCCCGAGGGGGCAGCTGCACGACGCAACAACCATCCCAGGATTTCCTTTTCCTTTGCATATGCACATGTGTGAGTGTGTTCTGAACAGAAGTGTATGTTTGTATTAGCTCTAGAAAAAGAGGAGAAAGACAGGGAGATGGCGCTGAGGGGAATACAGTGGTACCTCAGTTCATGAGTGCTTGTTTGCAAACAAAAGCATTTGACAAAATTTTGGTTTTGTTTGCAAACTCTTTAATAGGTGATGAACATGACTGTGGCCGTCTTTCTTGCACAATTCGAACACAGTAATTTTCCCTAGAATTGTGCAATGAATTAAGTTTGTGAACTGAGGTACCATTGTATATTATACTTGCAAGAGAAGGCTGGACCAGGCTTTGAAGGGAATGTGCCCAGCACCACCTAGGATGGCAGAATTAGCTCAGACAAGGTCAGGCTTGCTCCTACAGGAAAAGGCAGGTATGAATAGACAATGAGAGTAGAAGAAGGTGTGGGAGAAAACAGAAGCTCAGTGGATTAATGGAAACTTTCCAGCGCCTTGGGTGCCTGTCAGTTAGAGAGGCTTTGTCCTTCAAATATAATTTGTGTCTGTTCAGGCCAAAAAGTGCCAGGTGGGCTAAAAAGAAAGACAAGGGAAAGTCCTAGACACAGAACAATGAGCATCATACGGTGGGATGCTAAAATGGACTTCTTCTTGAATTAGAAAAGAGAGACTATGGGGCTTTGTAGGAGACTAAGGGAGGGCAGGGTGCTGAATGGGGCCTGCTTCTGGTGTAGTGACATCTCTGTTATAACTGCTACATGCTTGTTCAGCACTGAGGCTGGCCCTGAGTGCCGACATGCATGAACTCAGTACATACTGTGAAAGGTGTGCAGGTGGATGGAGAGGCCATTGGCTTGCCGGAAGCCCTTGCCACAGTCCCTGCAGACATATGGCTTGTCCCCGGTGTGAGTCCTCACGTGGCGAGACAGCTCGATGGACTGGGCAAACACAGCATCACAGTATTGGCATGCATACATTTTTCCTGCAAAGACATATGGGCTTATGAGAACCAGCACTAAACATGGTGTTCCTACAAAATCAAATTCTAAGAAACACACCAGGGAATGTCCTCTGGGAAATGACATGACAACCTCAGGCAATTTGTAATACACTGGACAGGAGGTTTGACCCATCCTGTCAAACACACAAACACAGCCCATCACACAGAAGGTGAGTCCAGAGGACAGAGACAAATTTCTCATCATGCAAGAGAGCCCATCTCCTCATCAGACCACCACGATGGTGAAAGAGCTCGCTCTGCTTTTGGCCAACGGCTACATCCTTGTGACCAGAAACAGGCAGAACAGTGTAGATTTGCGACTGCACACAAATGTGAGACATGGATTCAGAAAAGAATAAAAGTTTCTTTTTTGCATCACTGGTGACCCAGCCCAGGGCCTTTGCACTGAGCTCCAATTCTCAGCTTTTCTTAAAATTTTTTACATTTTGAGATAGTTTCACTCATTTGCCACAGCTGAGCTTGAACTCGTGATTCTCCTGCCTCAGTCTCCCAGAGTGCTGAGATATTGCAACATACCCAGCTTAAAGAATGAAAGCCTTTTTCTAGGGGCTTCCATAAAGCTATTATGTATCCTTTGGTTTCTGGACTTTCTCACACATATAATGAGGATGTAATAACTATACTACCAAAGATTGTTAGAAAAACAGGTAAAGACAAAGTCTGGGGATTGGTACAAAAGGCTGGGTCAGGTGAGCATTCCAGTTCCCTCATGGGCAATCGGGGAGGCGAGCTGCAGACCAGGACTCCCGACCCTAGGCCCTGCTTCAACCAGGGCAATCAGCCTCATTTTCACATTTTACCTGCTGGGCTCTAAAATGAGGTTTTGCTAGGGAAAAGGGGTTTCTTGAATCAAAAGTTGAAATACTTGAGATGACTAGGGCTTAGTCCTTGACTTTCTCTGCCCTCACCATCGGATCCCATCTCACAGCTTGCACCCCTGTACCCATTGTCCTTAGACCTCCATACTCCCCCCCCCCCAACCCCACTTGCTTTTACCTTTCCCTTCAGAGCTTGGCCAGGCATCTCAAACGGACCTTCATCAAAGCCAGGCTCCTGCCATCCACCTCACAGCCTCCCTTCTCACTCAGTGAGGTGTCCCTCACTCTGCTGTTCATGCCCCAAGCCCCGAAGCCGTGTGTAACTCCTGTCTTACCCCACACCCAATCCATCATGAATCCTGTTACCTCTACTTTCAAGAATAGATCCTCCAACCGAACACTCTTTCAACCCCGACTAGACCCCTGCAAGCACCTCCCCTGGCCTCTGTCAGTATTAAATTCTATCCCTGGAATGGTTCACTGGCCAGAGTGGCCCAAACTAAGAATATAAATCACATTCTATCACACCTGTGTTCAAAGTCATCCAGTGGCTTCCTGTGGTCAGTAGAATAATGAGCCCCAAAGATGCCTGTATCCTAAACCCTGAAGCCTGTTAACTGCTACTTCACATGGCAGAACCTGTGACTGAGTTAAGGAGCTTAGGAGGGAGAGATCATCCTGGATTCTTCAGGCGACCCAAAAGAATTCAGAAGGTCCTGGTAGAGGGAGGAGCTGGAGCCTGGAGTGTCAGAGGCACAGGCTGGAGTGATGCAGCCATAAGCCAAGGACTATGGGTGGCCTCTCAAAGCCAGGAAAAGCAAGGAATAGACCCTCCCTCTGGTGCTTCCATCAGAAGGACCACATTTCTATGCAACCTTGTCAGATGGATTTTAGCCTTGTCAGACCCATGTTTTAACTTCCAGTCTCCAGAATGGAAAGATAACACCTCTGTGTTGTTTTGAGCCACTATTCTGGCAATTTGTTAAAAGAACATTGAAATGGACCTTAACATAACAGCCAGAAGTCCTTACCTGGCTAGGAGGTCCTGTAGGAGCTGGCACCAATGATGTTATCTGGCCTTCACTCCTAACACACTCCCCTCACAGACTCTGCCATTGCTCTTTCTAGTTCTCTGTAGTCTCTGAGGCAGATAAAGCTCATGCCCATTTTGGAGATCAGGTTCTACACATGAAGCTCTTCTCCTAGGCCATTTACTGGCTCCCCTAATTATTTAGGTTTCACAATTAACATCCTCTCTCACAGGCATCGCTGATGCAGGAACAGCACCCACTCCCAAGCCTGTGGCTCCCTGTTGCTCATCTGGTTTTATTTTTTTTCACAGCAGTGGCTACACTCTGGATTTCTCTTGCACATTTATTTAGTGTGTGTCTTACTCCTTGGAGTATAAACTCATGAGGGTAGGATGTATGTATTTATAACATCCCCGTGCTGGGAACAGCCCAAGAAATGCTTTTATCAGGAAATACTGATGGCTGACTATCACTAAATTCCCCGAATTTAGTGTGTGTGTGGGGGGTGCATGCACTCTGAGCTCTACCTTTACAGTTTGTACTCTAAAGGGAGAGACTATAAACTAGTAACACAGACACCCATCACCTGCTGTGTACCATGGAGAAGATGCCGGAGGGGGCAGGCTGGGCGGTGGGAGGACTCATAGAAAAGGTGAGGTGTGAGGGAAACCTTGAGGGAGACAAGGCCATGAAGCATGAAGACGGAGGTGGCCCAAGAAAGGGAACAGCAAAAACAAAAGTGCCTGCCTGGCTGGGGTGAGGAAACTAAAGTGAGCAGAACAAAATAAAGAAGTGGGAGAGTAATGAGAGAGGAAGCCAGAGGAATCAGGCGTCCTAGCACGGATGGCCTGGCGGGCTATCAGAAGGCCTTCAGACTCCACACTGTGTGAGAGGAAAACCACTGCAGAGTCTGCAGCAGGGAAGTGACCTGACGTGCTTTAGTTTTAGAAGTACCCAGGGAAACACGGAGAGCAAGGAATTGGCGAGGAGGCTACTGAGACAATGCAGCGGGGGCGATGGAATGCTACTTCTTCACACATGCTCCAAAGCGTACCTAGACTCCTCCAGAATCCTTCCTTGACATACACTTTCTCCCCTCTAACTGGGTGAGAACCCGTTTGCCCTGGGCCACAGGGTCCTGGTATTCCTCCATGTTACACCAACGGCCATCTGTACTCTTAACTGGCTCTGTACCTCCCACCCCAGGTCATCAGCTGCAGGAGCACTGCATTCCAGTCTGTCACTCAGCATCTGGCACCGCCCGACCCACAGCAGGTGCTCCAGGAGGTCTTTCTCATGCTTGAACTACACATCAAAGCTCAAAGAATTCCTGGCTATGTAAACTCTGTAATTACAAAGTCACAATGCTATGCTGGCCAGCCTCTCCTCAGAAACCCTTGCAGCAGGCACTCAACAGGCTGTGCACAGATGGAGGCCTAGTCATCTGTGGGCTCAGAGTATGAGCTCTAGCTTTGTTTGTCATTTCCCTGACACATGCATAGCACCTGATTCCAAGCGGGCTTGCAGCAGCTCACACCACGCAAGTCTGCAGGAGGCAGAAAGGGCATTGCGGCCTCACCTTCCGAGTGCTTCTTCTTGGTGTGGTAGGCCAGGGCAGAGGCTTGGGTGAAGGTCATGAGGCAGTGCTTGCACATGAAGGGGCGGTCCCCAGTGTGCAGGCGGAGGTGGTTCTTCAGGGTGGAGTTGGCTGCGAACTTGGCCCCACACTCCTCACAGGAGAAAGGCTTCTCATCAAAGTGCTCTGTCAGTTTATGGTACTGCATGCCTGGGGAGGGGAACAGGAGAGACCACAGTCAGTCCAGAAGCTCAGCAATACCACCTTCCAGCACCGTCTCAGGCCAGGCCTTGAGAGGAAGCAGCACAAAGCACTGTTTCTCTAGAGAGACCCCAGTCACTCGGAAAGAGGCAAACAAAACTCACTTTTATATTTTATTAGGTTTACCCAACATCTCAGACAAGGGAAAACAATTCTGACTACGTATTCCATGGTTTCTGTGACTTCTTATTTATTACCAAGAAGCAAATGGTATATGCTGATTCAGCTGTGAAGTAGCTGGTTATTACTAAGTAACAGTGGTAGTAACGTCCAAGTTATGGTATGCTAACTACAGAGGGATTATAGTCGGGGTTGAGCTCTGTTATCTTAAAATTCCCTGACAATTCAAAACAGTAAGTGGTACCACATAGGAAATTTAACAGATGGGGAATCAGTGCTCAGGGAGCTGATTCCAGAGCCAATGCTCTTCTGGACTTACTATCCTTCCTCTTAAGAACCAGCTCTATTTTCTAAGCCCATCCACTTTCATGGCACACAGCTAGTGCCAGGCTAGAATCCAAAGTACAGCACCAGCCATGATTATCCTCGTGACTGCCTTCTTGAGCGTACCTGAGGCATGGGCGAATTCTCTTCCACAAAGGTCGCATGTCACTGGGAGCCTCTTCTTCTTCTTCTTGGGGGCTTCGGGGTCTCCACTGGCACCATGGGCCTCCAGCTGGTGCTGCTCCAGGTCCTTCCTGGAATCCTTGGTCTCACTGCAGTCCTTACATTGCACCTGTTTGCTCTTGGCCACCCGGCAGCGCTTCATGTGCACCTTCAGGCGGCAGTAGAAATGGAAGCTCTTGTCACAGGCCTTACAGACGAAGCTCTTCTTGGCAGAGTCTGGGGAGGCAGACGCGTCTTTCTCTTGTTGTTCTGGCAAGGAACCAGCCTCTCCCTGGCCATTCTGTTCTGCAGGCTGGCAGTCATTTTCCGCAGCCTTTTCATTTTCTTTGTCTTTGGCTTCAAGGTGAAATTTATTACTCACCTTCCACACTTCGCTCTCTCCATTTTCCTTAGTAAAGAAACCTGCATAGAAGAGAACCTCATGGCTCTGCAAATTCTGTTTCTACTTTGCTTTATAACTTCTCTAATGCATCCTTAGTGGAGACTAGAGACTTGAGAGCCTCAAAAAACTGCAGGAATCAGTACCACTGTCATCTTTCCTCCCCATAAACACAAAGAACACTGTGTTACATCTGTGTCTTCTGGCGGTTAGAGACACAGCATATACTTGAGGTACAACAGCCTCTCACATGAGCTGGTGCCTCTTTTCCCCAATAAAGAGCGAGCCTGGGGGCCTAACAGAACCCTCAACCCCTCGTTCCTTACCAATTTGTGCCAACTCCTGCATGACGGGCTGTAGGCTTGGGAAAGATTTGTGGACACTGCACAGGAGGTGACAGATTTCAATGGCTGAGACTGATTTTTCCATGGTTCTGCTCAGCACTGCTCTCAGGGAAGCTTCAGGGCTGGTTGTCTCAGAAGAAATGCTCAAAATCTAAATGAGTACCACAAGACAAAGGTATGGAGTTAATATCAGCAGATTTCCCCCACGGTTTCCAACATAAAATAAGTTAATTCTGGAAGGGATAGCTTCATCTATAAGCTGTTTATACTTGTCCTCACAACACATGCAGTGGGACAGTGCTGTTATCAAAGGGAGGGAAATGAACAAAGCAAAAAGAGGATGCACATATCAAGACAAATGTACAAATATAAAGAAGGTATGAACAGGGAACCATCAGTATTTTCTGTAAGAATTATGTTCCAAGCAATCAAGAGTCTTGCAGAAAGCTTTTCTAGATCTGCATACTAAAACCCTAGAGAGCTACAGGATTTGGTGGTTGGTCTTTCTATCATGAAGATCAAGATAATTTTTCATAATATATAATTGTCTCAATGTCTGCAAGTAATTCTGCATGATCAGTGGCTTCATATTTTTAGACACTTAGATGTACCCTTTTAAACATCATTTTCTTTCATAAAGAAACTCAGCGTTCCAAAGCAGGTTCAAATAGGGGCTTTAAAGAGGCCAAGAATATGATTTCAAAGCCGTTCTCTTTCAGAATGTTAGAGCTATCAGCAGAGAGTCAGCATACTGAGAAAATAAAGTGAAACCATCCACAGATGGCCACATGGAATTTTCATCCTGGAAGACATTTTATTTCTGCTCTTTTCAAGTCTATCTAAATAAACCTGATGTCCCTGGAGGCAGGCATGAGACTAATTAGGAGCCTAAAACTGATCAAGTGCAGAAGCCTCACTCTGAAGCACGCAGTGTGCTGGAGAGAGGCGAGCACATCAGTCTTGCCCCTGAAGCCCCACAGAGACATGGGCCATCTTCTTCCCAGCGGAAACTGAGACCCGCTTGGGGCTGTCACTGGTGTGAATGGTCTGAAGCCTGCCCTTTGGCATGCTTCCCATACCTTTTTGATCCCATGGATCAAAGACACACTACAAGTGAATTCGGCTTAATTTTATATACCTTTATTCTTCCCTGCTCAAGATGTACATGATGGGGCTAGACATCCACGAATCCCCCCAGTCCCCACCTGGGTTTTCTGGGATGCTGGCCACATTGTGAGATGCCTTACAGAAAATGAGTTGGCGCTACTTGCTGCCCCATATGGGCAAAAGCTTTGTTCTCTCTATGTTTATCTTGGCTCCTTCAAGGAGCCAGAATAGAACATGTAGCGAGATCGGCTTTACTTTCCGTCCTCTGAGACACTGCATCTCAGAACATGTTAGAGAACGGAATCATCATTTCCCTTGAGATGTCCCTATGTTTAGGCAGTTGGAATAAATGTAGGTATGAGTTATGTAACTTGGTTCAAATCCTGGCTTCCAGTCTTGCTCACTGGACACGTAACTTAATCGTGTAGAGCCTGAGCTCCACGGCCTGCGAAATGTGATGGCACCACCTAACATGTGGAGCTGGAAGGTTGTAAAGGAGAGCGAAGGCAGGGCCACGCACACGGCAGATACTCCCCTCAGCAATGCAGACAGCCCCAGAATCCACTCTGAAAACCTTTCCGGACTGTGGTTTGCTTTTTATTTGCCCACACCTCTTTCAAACTCCTGGCCAGCTGCTCTTCCTCTGAGGAAAAGGACTTGAGCTCACCCCACTGCTGGATGGCCTCTACGATCAACTTGGTATGCCTCAGGACTATTTCGAAGGCAGCAGTTTCTGGGGTGGTCACTGAAAAAAAGGGACATGGGAAATTCAGTCAAACTTGGGCCCCATTTTCTCTTTTATCTTCTTCACCACAGTTCTTTATAACGACAACACATGTAACCTGTCTCCCATCTAGGCTCGGGTGTGAGCGAATGACAGCACTGCGATCAGAGAACAATAATGAATTTAAGCTTAGAATAATCACTGCAGTTTTTAAAAAGGTTTTTAAATGCTGTATTCTTGAACAAAACTGCTATTCCTGGTTTAAAAAATTGTACATATTTATGGAGTAAAATTGTGTAATAGTCAGATCCAGGAAAGCACTTTTATCTCTTTAAACACCTTTGTGAACACATTCAAAATTCTTTCAAACCAGGCATGGTGGTACACACCCATAATCCCAGCACTCAGGAGGCTGAGGCAGAAGGCTCTCTATGAGTTTAAAGCCAGTCTGAACTACACAGTGAGTTCAAGGCCAGCCTGAACTGCATGGTGAGACTTTGTCTCAAAAAACAAAAAACCTTCAAATTCCTTTCTTCTAGCTTTTCTGAAACATACAGTATGTTATCATCACCTACAGTTACCCTACGTGCAAGAAGACCCAGAACTTATTGGCCGTTACGCCTAAGAGCAGAGATGCGGATGGATGACCGCCACGTGAGAGATTTTTCTGCTCCCGAGTAGATGGACCACTACCCTACTGGGGGCGAAACCACAGCAGAGGCCCAGCAACCTACCTGCCTGGAAGAAAGCAGCAGCACGAGGCTCCTTTCGTATTTTATCCACGAGCAGATTCAAGGGGCAGACCTTTGTCTCCTGAGCTGCCAGAAGCAGCTGCCAAATGGCTGTTGCAGAGAGAGTCTGCTCTTCTAGAACTGCTGACAGCAGGGAACTGAAACCACCTGAGCCAGAGCTCTGTTTCACAAGCTTCTCCATGACCTTCAAGACAGCACAAACACTGGTAAGAGACTCTCCAACCTGGGGCTGCAGAGCCACAAGGCTAGGCATCAGGTTACAGTGAATGTGTTTCTGCTAAGGAATCTGCAACATCTTCACCTCTCTCAACCTAGATTTCTTTTTCTTTGTTTCAAATCAAATGAATTTGGGGGAGAGTGGTTGGGGATGTAGCTCAGTGGTACAGTGCTTGCTTACCACATGTGAGGCTCTGGGTTCCTTATTCCCAGCACCAGAAAGAAAAAAAGAGATTTCCTATACATGGCAAAGTTCTTCCTTTTCCTCTCTCATGAGTTGCCTTCTATTTCTCCTTCTCTCCTTAGCATTTCTCAATACTGGTGCATATGTGTACTTACAGAACATACATTGTGTCTGCCGATTATTTCCCCTCACCCTCCCGCTTCCACACCCCACTGTGCTCTTACTTCTCTTTCCCCAGGGGCCACACTCTTCGCGCGTGAGATCATCTTTAGCAACTTGTCCTTGTCTGTGAAAATCTCAGAGAGGTTTTCATGATAACGTTGCAATAGCTCAGTCCCATAATCATCAGGGCTTGGCTGGACTGTAACGATATTAGCAAAACAACACTGAGCAACAAAACCTCCAAGGCTTCTACAGAGGACTGAGGGCAGTACGGATGAGAGGGGTGGACGAGTGTCAGCAGAGCCCAGCTGCTGTGCAGGCCACACACGCGTCTCCTCCAGGGCATGCTTCGTGTTTCAGGGGCATAAAACCACTAACACTTAGAGAGAGTCGTGCCCAGCGGGAGAAGCCAGTGGCTGCTTAACAGGAGGATAAGGAGGAGGCTGTCCGAGCAAGAGCCTCAGATGTACACAGCCAAGGGGTACCGCTGGGAAGCCCAAGGGAAGGGCCTGTGGCGACCCGAAGTACACGCCGCCACAGCTCAGGGCTGTGCCCGTCAAGAAGCTGCCCCACAGCTCTGTTTAGACATCCTCTGAGCCCACCTGTTGGCTACACTCTTTTAAGAAGTTATATTTATTTAAACATAAAGAAAAATCAAAATGATCAGGCAGTGATATTTAAAATATTATTCTCCCTTCAACTCAATAAATCCCCTTCTGGAACTTTAAAAATTAACTGAAGACAAAAAAAAAAGCAAAAGCAAAAGATCAGTAGTTACTGAATTCCCACATGTACCAGGCATGGTGCTAACAGTTTCCTAAGTATTATTTCATAGGAGCCACAAAAATGAATGTGATCAGTACCAGCCATACCTGTTCCAAGAGAAAACAGGTTTGGAGGGGTGTAGTGAAGCTACAAGCATGCCACCTAGCCACCACAGCCCGTACTGTGAACCATTACACCATCCCGTCCCCAGGTAAGAGCACGAGTAACACTCGGGCATCCCTATGCTGGAAAACTACACAGCCTGCAAAACACAGGGTTATGGTTATGGGGCTGACCATGGTGGCTCACGCTTATAATCCCAGCACTTGGGAGGCTGAGTCAGGAGAACTGACATGAATCGGAGGGCAGCCTGGGCCACACAAGTGACTTTAAAGCCAGCCTGCATGTCATAGTGAGACCCTAAAAAAGTAATAATAAAAAAAGGATTATGGGAAGTTTTATGAAACGTGGGGAAACTGTAAGTATTACAAAACACAGTAGCATCTAAACACTGTAAAACTCAGGTAACAGATAATATATGTCAAAATGTTAATACTGATACACTTGAGTGGTAGGACTTTAGGTTGTTTTCTTTTTATGTTTGCAATTATCCAAGTTTTTAAAGTATATTTTACTTTGTAAACTAATACTTCTATCTTTCTTAAAGCCGTCTCAGTTCTAAATGCTGTGGGTGGGGAGAATCAGCTCAGGTGGACTTGTGTGGAATGGACACGGGCTCATTCTCCCCATCTTGTCATCTAATGGACGAGTGCTTCGGCCGGGACCGCTGGAGCCGGGCAGCACTCGAGTGGGGAACGGAACAATGAAGAGCTGCGTCTCTGCTGCTCACAGTTGTTCACAAAACCGTCAGAATGCTGAGCCACGTGAGCCCGCTGTTCCCACCGCTTTCACAGGTGAGCCTGGACGGCCCCAGAAAGCCACCACCCAGTAAGCTCTGAACCTGGGAGCGCCAGGAGGGAATTTAAGGGAAAAGAGGCCTTTCTCAGGGTTCGTGGTTTCATGCCAAAAATACTGAGGACCACTGATTTGAGACTTTCTGATTGATGTCATCTCCTAGCACTATCTTATGTACCCAGCATGGAGCCACAGGGTATTTGAACCTGTAATTTTCTGTCACAGTAGCTCCAGTGCAGAGAGTGAACAATTAACTAATACCTGCGGTGCTAGGCAAGGTGGCTAATTTCTGTAAATTCTCCAGCAGAAGGCCCAGGTTTGGGAATGCCATCTCCACAGCCTGGAGGAGTTTCAGGAGACTCTCCGCTCGCAGGGTCTTCTCTTCAGTTATTCTGTGCAACATAGTTTCTATTGTTTCTTTGGCTGTTCTGCCCTCACAGCAATTCAGAATCACCTGCAGTGGCAAGCAATCAACCAGACAGCAGTTACTGGCAACTCACAATTTATCCTACGCACCCCTGGAAAACCCAACAAGAAGGCCATTACAAGACACCGAGGCTCCAACTCCTGCGCTGGTTTCTAGCATGACTTCTGTCACAGTCCGTTCCTCATTGTGTTTCACTAAAAATCCAAAATATTCTCGAAATGAGTAACTTTGTAAGAATCTTTTACTCAGTTCTAAATCTGTGTATCTTCTTTGCCTTCAACAGCTCACATTTATTGAAATCATTCTTACACTTGGGCTGCAGGACAGTTTGTTCAGACACTAAGAAACAGGCTGGCAGTTCACAGTTACAATGTTTTCCAATCTGTGTTCAGATTGTTCATGATTTAGTACAGGTTGTAATTTTCAGAACAATTCTTTTATTTCCTCTCCACAGTAATTTAAATGCCCAGATGATTAATCTGAGATTTCCCAAATAATAAAAGCTTTTGGGGTTTTTTTGTGAACCCTTTACATCCATTCCTTTCATTCCCAATGGCCACATATAGCATTCTAGTCATAACTCCACAATTTCACTCCCTTGTTCTTCCGCAGTGTGCCAAACAACTTTCTGAGTCAAAAATAGCATAGGGCTCGAGCAAAGGCTGAGAAATGAAACCTGGGACAGGTATTTTCCCCTAACAACAAAACCATCTCCTAATGGGCTACAACAATATGCATAGCATGGCGCTCATGGAACTGATACAGCAGAGATTAATGTATGTAACCCATAGACGTGCAGCAACTGAATTTTGAGTTTTCCTTTGGGAAAATGTCAGCTCTCAGGAGAAACAATCAAGCAGATCAGTCATGGTTGTATGCCAGAGGCTGCCATTATCAAATTAATTCCCATGTTAAAATAATGAATGCAGCTTTAAAACTAGATTGCCTCTATCTATCTATATCTATCTATATGAGACATACACATATATATGTATATAATCAAGTTGTCATATTCCTTGTCAGTACAGAACAGTCATTCTCTTTAAGATCTAATATGTAATAGAGTTCTACTACATGAATCATAATTTAAAACTTAAGAACTTAAATTTAAAACCATACTGATTTCACTTCTATATGCTAGTTGCTAAGCAATAATCTAATACATAATGACACAGCCAGACATTGTTAAGAGTAGGAATGGGCTTTAAAACCAGACTTCAACTGTACCCAGTCCTGCTATTTATTTCCTGTGTGAGCCTGGGTAAGTTATTTAATTCTTTGCACCTTATTTTTCTCATTTGTAAATGAAGCTAACCATTCTAACACTTGTACAGAGTCCTCTCTATGAAATGCAGTTGTTTGGTATGGTGGCATAGGCCTGAGATCCCAGCATTCTAGAGGCTGAAGCAGGAGAATCACTGCAAGTTCAGGGAGCTACATAGTGAGAGTCTGTCTCAAAAAAAAACGTTGCTATTTGTGGAGCCTCATGTACCCTAGATACATGCGCTCTTCAATGATGATGCCACTCATGTCGCTGGGGAACAATGTACACAGTGAGCAGGAAGTGTTTCATCAGGAGTCTGGGTTCCGGTACTGGTTCTGGCAGTGCCCTTGGGTGAGCTGCTTAACCTCCTTCAGCTCTTATTTCTTCACCTTAAAACAAGGGTAAAGCCCTTACTCCATGCAGCTGCTGGAAGGTAAAAATTCAGTGGGAGGCAGAAGTCTGCAACACACGGCTTGGCACACAGTAAGCAATGAACAACGGCAGTGACAGTGATCACTATCTTTATGTCCTGAAATCATTTTTTTTTAAGCCTACAGCACCCGGTATTCCCAGGCGGTCCCCCATCCAAGTACTAACCAGGCCCGACCCTGTTTAGCTTCCGAGATCAGATGAGATCGGCGCGTTATGTTGACCACTCTTACAGAAAGACTTGAAGTATTTCAGATAATAAGTCTGAGATACCACACTAGGAATTCATTAAAAACAAGTTCTGAGAGGCCAATACGCACTCCACAGGATGTCAAAGTACTGTGGCTACGCGATCAACATTCACCTCTACGCTCCCATCACATTAGTGTGCTTCGATTTTCATGAGAAGGAACAGCTTAAAGTTGCTCTGGTGGAATCCCAATCCTGAGGAGTGTTTTTGTGCTTTATAACTAATTTAAGTTCTTTGGCTTCAGCTTTTACTATCAAGTAAACTAGAAGTGACAGAAGAAGATGACAGTGCGGTCTATCTTGCTGCGGAGAATAAGGCTGAACTTGGCTCTACCTCTGAGTGCTGTTTTACCAAGATAATGAAGCAGCTCAAAGGACACATTCCGCCCGGCTAGTGAGGGAAGGTCTGAACGAGCCACAGAGCGAAACCGCTGAGCAGGGAATCAGGCACAGCTAGTAACCCACTAAACATGCTTCCAATTACACAATCTGGACTTTCAGGAGAAAAACAGTTGTTTATTCTTTTTTGGTATATTATCTTTCTCTAAGAAGTTTAAGAAACTTAAAAATTTTAAATCAGGTTTTCCTCACTAATCTATATTTAATAAAAGATCAGTCCTCACCATGAATCCAGCGTTCCGCTATTATATCAGTGATTTCTAAGCATTTTCTCTCCTGAACATTTAAGTTACTTCCCACAGCTTCAAGAACCAATGCCACAAAAGTTTTCCATTCCTATTCCTTCCTTACAGATATAAAAATATTTTTAGCACAAAGTTGAAATCAATAACACCAACAGATATAGTTATCTAGTTGCCTTGAGAAGTCATGCTAGCAGCTTTATGAGGATTTCAGTAGCAAGCTGGTTGCGGAGTAAATTGATACAACCTTCCTGAAGGGCAATTGGCAATGTGTGTCACACACATGAACATTTTTGTACTCTCCATTCCAAAATTCTACTTCTTAAAAATTATTCTAAGGAAATAATTCGAGAACTAGTCAAAGCTTTGCCAGTAAGAATGTCCTCTGAAGTATTATTTGTAACAGCCAAAAACTAGAGATGAATGTTTCACAATAAAGAACTCATGAATTATGATATATCCATTAGAATATAATACAGCTACTGAGATCTATATTCTAGGTACGGAAATGTACTGACATAGTAAATGTAAAAACCAAGTTAGAAAACTATGTTCTGTGTAACTTCATCCCAGGATGACTCAAACAAAGAGTAGGGGAAACATGCTCTAAAATGTTAGCACAGGCTTGGAAAATAGCTCAGTGGCACAAGCACCTGCCTAGCAAGTACAAGGTCCTGTGTTCAATTCCCAGCACCAAAAACATCACCATAAAATATTAGCAGGAAATCATGTCTGAGTGGTGAAATTTAATTTTTTTCCTTTTTCCTTTTTTTCATATTAACCATTTATCACATCTATGAAGAGGGAAACTGTCATAATTACAAATGCGCCTAAACATTTTAAATTCTTGGCACAACCATTTAAAATAAAAATTCACTAAGCCAGAGCAGGAATATCATATATCCCTCCATGTATCTTTCCTAACACTGACTCTACAGGGCACTGGCAACAATGTATCCAGCCCTCAGAATACTACTGCACAAAATACAAATACAAGAATCTGAATTTGGTAGTGATTACTATGCAGTAGGTATAAAACTCTGTAAGCTAAAAAGTGCTCTGTGCCAGAAAAGAGGTTTTTCTAAAAAAAAGCACTACATCAATTCTGAGGCGGGAGGAGATACTTGACACGGTTACCCTTTTCTCAGTGCCAGGCAGGAATTCCTCCTTGGCTGTTTCCAGGAACTCCGTAATAGGTCTCAGCTGTGTTACACACTGTATCAGGTCCTCTTTGTGCTCCAGTAACAGAACAGACAAGGTCTTTCCCTCCCCTGTGCTCCCTGGGGGAGAAAGAATTAGAGACACACAAGAAAAGCTAGTCAATTTGAAGAAAATGACAGCATGGTTTGTCAAGAGATCTAACAGAATAGTAAAGTGATTCTCAGCTTATTCTGTGCACCTGAATGCAGAATCACCTTTAGAGAGAAAAATACTTTATTATTCTGTTTAAACTCTATGAAAGAAAAAATGTTTCATTTATCTGTCGAAACACAAAGCTTCACAGCCAGCCAGAGGTTAACTTCTGGTTGGCAAGGCCAGTGCTTTGTACCTAACCCAAATGAGAGCAGCTCCAGCCTCTAAGTGCTGTCGGTGAACCAGTGCACCCTAGACACCCAAGGCACTGCTTTGGACATGTGGCTTTTTGAAAGGCAGGGGATATTGATGGTATTCTCCAATTCAAGGTATCAGGCTAGTTAAGCAGGGGACAGAAATGGAAACTTATGCTTAGCTTGTATATATTTAATACGTAGCTTCTGGAGTGACATTAGAATCTATGTGGAAATCGTTTACTAAGGAAACCTCTGAAGATACGAATCACTGGATCCAACTTGGTGGCAGGGTGGAGAGTAGCATTGGGGATGGAACCAGGGACTCCTCGTGCATGCCAGGCAAACACTCTACCACTGAGCCCAATCCCCGGCCCCCACTGAAGCCAACCTTAAAGCTTGGTCACTTGGGAGGACAGGACTCTCCTTCCTACCTTTTGGCGGCATGGCGGCTTTGTCTTCCAAGGGTGAGTCTGACAGTGCAGTTTTTACTGCAGGATTAGAATCCTGGTATAGCCTCAACAGCGACACAACAGTCTGCACTTCCAGGCTCTCGGCTCTTATTTTCTCCAGGATTTTCTGGAATGCTACATGTCCTCCTTCACCCTCAAGACATTCCATGATAATCTGTGGAATGAATTATCCAGAAGATAGGCAAGCCAGCAACAAGAACCACATTTGGCAAGCCAAACCCCCACAGGCTGATCTCTCACCCATGGTATCTGCTTCCCCTACAGGGGCTGCGGCCAATCTTGTGCCGTGGGTTCCAGCTCATCCTCAGGAGGACTCCGTTTCCATGCTGGGACCTCGCCCAGGGGACACCCTGCTGGGAGGCCTTCCCCAACCCAGCCCGCCCTCTCTTAGTCCAGGTCATTTTACATTTTATACACTATACTGTAAGCATTTATCTTTTTCTCCTAATAGACTTCTTGAAGCCAAGGATCATGCTTTCTAGAGCTCTGGATTCTCAGCAGCCAGCAGAATCTAGCACACAGTAGGTGTTGAGTGCATTTTTAACATACTTAATGCACTTCTTACCTAATTATACCTTTCTGAATCTTATGACATTCTGAGTATTTCTTAGGCAAGGATATCTGAATTTCAAATTGAATGAACTGTCATTTTATTATTTGAGAATGCAATTAAAACCTCACAAGTTAGGGGAGAAAAATCACTTTAAGTCATTTACATTATAAATGATAGACTATTTAGAAAGACGCGAGCCTTATTACTTTTAGATATATTCTGTAACAATTAAGGCTAACAATGTGTTGGCTTGGAGTTGCCAGCTGTCAAAGAACATATGATTCACATATTAATTATCCTATTTCAATGACTGCTTCAGTGCTGTGGGCGTGGGCTGAGGGGCTGCAGAGCTCTTCCCCGAACCAACAGTGAACACACAGCAGCCTGGCCTCTGGCCTTGTGCCCTTGACCTTTCTGTGGCATTATGACCACCTCTGAGTCACTGTTCTCAGCTTTCATCTGATTGTGGCAACACTAATGCACTGTGGGTGAAATCCTGCCACTCTTTTCAGCCTTCCCCATTGTTGTTCTTCCAAAGCCATACCCTAAGCAAGCTCTGACTAGTCTCAACCTTTTATTTTTATCTCCTTTTTGAGAAGGTTTCAGCCAAGCTGCTGGGTACATGACTGTAATCTCAGCACTCTGAGAGGCTGAGGCAGGAGGATCACAAATCCAAGACCGTGTCTCAAAAAATAAATAAATAAATAAAGGCCAAAGATATAGCACAGCATGAAGGCTCCGAGTTCAATTCCTGGTACTACTTTTAAAAAGGGTAAGAAAAGCTCTCAGCTTTATCACATTTTGCAGACGGCTCTGAAGGGCTCTAACCTGAACTGTTTCAGTCTAGAGCCACACAATTATTCTGGGTATGTCTTAAACAGCAGAGTTCTCAGGGCCACCAACTATGCTCACCATCTTTTTTTTTTTTTTTTTTTTTTGGTAGCCAGGATTGAACTCATGACCTTGCACTTGCCAGGCAGGCTTTTTTAGGCCACTGAGCTAAATCCCCAGCCCCCTATGCTCACCATCTTGAATCTTCCTGAATAAAATATCAATAATCTCAGTGGTAAAATGTAAAAAATGAGCATTTTTTCCCTTTGGTCTGACAGAACATCTCTTATACAAACAAGAGAAAGCCCAATCTGAGACACAATATTTCTGATTTAGCAATAATTTGGAAAAAAAAATCATGTGCCCAAAATGAAAGTTCATGGTAGGCATAGGAGTCCTTGTATTAACCTTTAAAAAAAGTTTCCTATGTGTTTTGGTCATCTTCAAAAGTAAACTTAGATAAAATACAGTTTAATAATCCACATTAATATTTGATTACAGTAAATAACTGCCATGAGCCTAAGTTAACTCATCTTCTATTTTTAAAATAGCAAACAAGAAATAAAGGCCTGGGTTGAATGGTTAATCCCTGTGGGTAAATGAATTCAACCTTTCCTGCTTTCGTGAGTTGGGCTCAAATCTCCTTAGAGTGCCCTTCATGGACAGTAGTAGGGACCCTGAAGCAGGCAGCCTGCGAACAGCTTCCAGGCGACCCGCCTCTAGACAGTCAGCCTGTGAGCTGGACTCCTGGCTTGGTTCTAAGGAAGAGAATATGGCAAAGTAACGCGACGATGCCCCTTCAGAGGCCAAGTAACTACGACTTCTGCCTTTCGCACGTGCATGTGCGCCTGCGCCCACTGGCACACTGTGTCCCTCTGGCACTGCCCTTGCTCTGGGAGATGCAAGCTGCCACATTGTGAGTTGCCCTGGGAGACAAGTCCTTCTGGCAAGGAATGGATGACTCCAGGCCACAGTCAGTAAATCTGGAAGTGGTTCTTCTGGAGCCTGTCAACAGCCAAGGGAGTGAACTAACAAAAAGATATTACCCTCTTTGGTATGATACAAAAAAAAAAAAAAGATATTCCCCTCATTGAGCCTGGAAATGGTTGCAGCCGTAACTGACACGGTAACTTCAGACCAAGGACTCAGCCACACTAATTCTGGTTCTTTACCCACAGAATTCCAAGTAGTAACTGTTTGAAGCTGCTGAGTTTTAGAGTTATTTGTTACACAGCAATCAATAACTCTGGGGCTAATATCCTCAGGAAACACAGTTCCTCCTCCTTACTTGCCCTTTCCTTTGTCCCTTTCTTTTATATGTCTTAATTGACATAGTGCACAGCTATCTCATCCTGTGGTAGGCCAGGTTTTATTTCTTTTCCCATCTAAAGCTCTCTGAACATCCCAGATCCAGCACTCTCTGCATCCAGGGTGTTTGGCACTGTCACTGAAGCCCAGGTGGAGGGGGGACTTTCATCAGAGGCAGCATCTGATGTGCTTCTCATTATCTTCTCTGCTGTCTCTCCCTCTGCAGAACCACTCAGCAGTGAAATTAAAACATTTGTTAACTCCACTGCTCAGCAGTGAAGCTGGGGTGACCATCTGGGAAGAGAAGCAGGGTGGGCTGATGAAAGAAAGGGTGAAGAGGGGCAGAGCACTGCCTGGACAGCCCTGCTCTTTCTTCTAGAACCCACGGGGACCCAGGCCAGAGCCAGTGCTTTGGCTTTTACTATGGTAAGCCCACTTCTGAAACAGTGTGTGCCTATACAAGAGTGTCTCACATTTGGATAGGCTACCACCACATAACAGAGCTGAACCAAAGCACTTCTATCAAGAGATCTTCTTTAACCCTACATTTGGAACTCGTTTGATTCCTAGAGAGCGTTATTTCCATAGATTCATGTCAACACATGATCACAAAAATTACCAAGTACTTTCCTACGAGTGAAATATTGATAAATATATTTAAAGATGAGACAGTTTCCTTTCCACTGATGATATGGGAAAAACCACTTAACCTTTCTCCTAACTCAAGTCTTTCAACTGAATTTACTTTCCCTCACTGTTTGTCACAGGATCTATGTGAGTTATACTATACTCTAGTTCACCCAAACCCTCCCATGAATGCTGAGGGCCAGGGGGTGGCAACAGTGATACAGATGGAGCTGGGTGTGGCTAAACAGTAAAGCACCTGCTTTGCAGACAGAGTCCTAGGTTCAAACCCCAGCACCAAAACTAAACAGATAAATAGAAATGAAAAATAACATGATCCCCACCAATCAACACCATCTTGGGACACTGCAGTCCACGTGTCTGCTCACGTCAGTCTCCAGCAGCATCCCTACTGCTTACTGTGATGAGTATCAGGTTAAGTAACTGGGTGAAGTGCTGTGCTCATGTTACACTCCTTTCACTCAGTTCTAGCACCTCAATTCTAAGAGTAAATCAAATCCATTTATAGTGGATTCCACTGGACTTACTAGAATCCGTATCACAGGGCAATAGACATAAGACAATTTGTACCATTCTTGATCTCAATAATTAGTACAGGATTCTGTGTCTCGTAGGTGCTCAATAAATGTTTAACTGAATAAAGTCACTTTCTATATAGCTACCAATCCTCCTGTCTACAGATGTGTATTCCAGACATAGCAGTTAACAGAAAGGAGATCTGGAAAAACCATGATGTATTTTCATCTTTTATCAACCTGTAAAATGAACTCTATTAACTCACTCTTGAGAGGGTTACTCCAAACAGTCCTTGAAACAGAGCTGTGCACTACTGACCAGGCCTCCAACGTAGTGACACAGTAGAAAATGTGGATTCACATAGGAGCAGAAACTTGTTTGCCTTTGAAATACAGTTGAAGGAATAAAGTATTATCAGGTCTTTGCCTTTGGGAGAGTTTTCTAGAACTTTGGGGAAAAAGTGAGTCAAACTGCCCAGAAATCAACAGTAGAAAGTTAGCTCCATGTTCTCATTAAAAATCCATTTTGCTGTATACACAATTAATTAAAATCAGGGACATGGCTAGGAATAAAGAAGACAATCGAAAGTTCTAGCTTAGGGCCAGGGATGTAGCTCAGCCGTACAGCACCTGCCTGTCCACTGTGAGGTCCTGAGTGTGATTCCAGGTACCAAAAAAAAAAAAAAATTCTAGCATAAAAACCAGAAAAACAAACAAACATGTACGTGAGCCTTTACGTGAAGGTTTTACTCCGCTCAGCCAGAAAGCTTCCTGAGTCACTGCTTGCTGCTTCTGTTCGGGGCTGTACCACTGGGTAAAGACCAGAGGAAGACACTTCTCCACCCAGGACATTTCTCTATAATCAGTTCTGGCTTTTGTTTCACACAGTTCAAGCAGCCTGGTCTCTTCTCCTGTGGCTGCAATCCCTGCTCAGGGAATGGCTTTGCCATCTTTCATCATTTATCTCAAGAAATAAAAACATCGGAGGGGCTGGGGATTTAGCTCAGTGGCATAAGCACCTGCCTTGCAAGCAGGCAGTCGTGAGTTCGATCCCCGGTATCAATAAAAAGGAAAAAGACAAAAAAAAAAAAAAGAAAGAAAAAGAAAAAGAAAAAAGAAATAAAACCATCGGGACATGGCTGGATGATGTCCTCACTAAACTCAATCTGGACCAGTTGTATACCCATGTCTCAGTCTCAACTAGAGCACTCATGAACCTCAACAAGCATCAGAATTGTACACAGACTGGTTAATTTTTCTTTTACTGTTAAATTGTCAGTGATGTTATAATGATTAACTGAA